CCCCCCACTTCCCCCCCCCGCCCTCTTTTAGGAAGCGATTTGTCGCTGGGCGACTCAATCAATCTCCCGCTTCGGGGGCCGTCTCCGCAAAGGACGAGCCCGCCCTGCCGGGGAGGAGCGGAAGACGGACTCGGCGGCGATTGGGCAACAATGTAGCAATCCGCTTCCTTTCTCCCCCTCCCGAGCGCTTTGATCTCTCCCCCGCTTCCCTTTCACGCGGCTCGTGATTGGCCACGGAGGTTGCGGGAACGTTCTGTTTCCTTTTTCAACGTTCCAAAGCCGCGGCGCGCGCTCCTCTGGACGCGGAGGCCTCCCCGGCTGTAAACGGAGGAAAAGGAATCCGGATTAAGGGCGAGGCTGCCCTTCGTGTTTGCTGATGAATCAGCACCAGGGGTCTCCCCCCCCGGGTTTCCTTCCGAATAAACCAGTTTTAAGTTTGGAGCTGGAATCCTGGCAGCCCTGGGGAGAAATTGCAATCTTCTTACTCGCTGTTTATGGCGTTTTGCATCACGCCTTTCCCTCCGGAGCACCAGCTGGCATTGGTAGCGCTCCCTCCTCCCATTTCTCCCCACAACAACAACCCAGTGAGGTAGGCTGGGCTGAAAGAGAGTGCCCGGCCCCAAGTCACTCTATAACGTCTTTGCTTGAAGGTAGATTAGAACCAACACCTTCGACCTGAGACCAGCCTGGCTCTGTGGATTAGCCGGGTTTGCAGAACCCCTTAACCAGGTTGGTTAAGGGCCTGCATGGACCCAATTGCATTGTTCATTGGTTAGCTTGGTTTAAGGCTTAGCATGTGGTATAAATCCAGCCGGTGGGGTGACTTGGGGGGTAAGGTTAGCCTAGAATATGGGTTAATTCAATAACTGAGTTAAAAGTGCTGTTCAGAGGAAACGTGGTCTACTCAGAACAGTTCTAGATTTGGCTAGGAAAGAGTGGATGTAGTAAGGAAGGACAACATGCATTTTGCACAAGCAAGCCATATCCCAAAGAGAGAACATATTTCACCCTAATTTTCTCATCCTAGACCTGTACGCGGTCTCTTTGATTTTATTCTAACCTAGCTTCTTGACTAGGTGCTAAAGAGCTGCGTTTACACCACATATTCACCCAAATCAAAACCCGGTGGGCCTTTGTGCTGAGTAAACTTTCCTACACTTCTCTTGTAATGAGTTCAGCGTTCGCATGAATTTTCACACCGCCTCTGCCGATGGTAAATGTCAAATCCCCCAAACGGAAAAAATGCCAATAATCAAGACCATCCCTCCATCTGATCCCCAGAAAGACATTCAGGTTTGTACGTATTTGATGCTGTTAGCAAAAGAGCAGCTTAAAATCTTTTAATGTTTAACCCAGAAAATAACTTCCAATTATTGGGGTGGGGGGGAGATGGGAGGGAGGAAGAAAACATATATTTCTTCCATATATTCGGAAGATGTCATCATTCATGACTATTTCCCTGCTCTTTCATTGCAGAGATCTTGAAATTCAGCAAATAATTGCAAAATCAGGTTGGATGTCCATCATGTTTATCTTCCATAAGCTGCAAGCCAAACGGCCCCCCCCCCCCGTGATGTTCAGTTTTCCAGAACTTTGGAATTTGAGGACAAACATGGGGACTCACCCCTCCCTTCCTGTTTTCCGTCTCCTGTCCTAGTCCAGCCCTTCAATGAAGTTTGTTACCCGGTAGTTTGTGATGATAAGAATATGACCATTCGGGTATCTACAAGGAAGCGGATGACCTTTTTCGGTTTATGGCAGAAGGAATGCTGGCTTGTTCACCTATGTGGGTCAATCAATCACCTGCTTTTTAACTCATGGGTTAATTAGTCACTTGCCTTGAGGCGAAGGGCTAGGAGTTTTTGAGAGGTTAAAAAAAATGCAAGGAAGAATAGGATTAAGGCCCATCTTTGACTCATTCAGCATCCTGCATTTGCGGTCTTCTGATGGGGGTCCAGGGCTGGACCCCTGTGGCCCTTTTTTGGCACCAACATCCAGAAATGAACCATCTTTGATATGGGTGTTCTACACAGTCTCTATTGCAGTGTTGCTCAACCTTGGCAACTTTAAGATATGTGGACTTCAACTCCCAGAATTCCCCAGCCAGCATGAGTTGAAGTCCACATATCTTAAAGTTGCCAAGGTTGAGCAACACAGCTCTATTGCTTGGTTTCTCCTAATTCATTATGTTTTTAATAGTTCCAAAGCTGGTTTTCGATTTGTAAGTCGGATGGCTGGTTTGCAAGACTATGTTCTGCTTTTTCAAAAAATCCACATGCTGCCAGAAATTTTGGTTTGGGGGCTAGACATTGTAAGAGGAGAGCTGCGCTGGCCTATGCTTGCAAAAAATCAGTCCTTTCCCCCACTCACAATTTTCTTAAAAGGCAGAAGCTTTTGCAAGCAGCTGCAGATCTATTGAATTTGATGAAGCTCGCACAAGCCTTTTAATAAAATGTGCAACTCGGAGAAATACTACTGGGGTCTTTCTGATCTGGGGGGTTGCTGGATTAGAAGGCGCCCTTCTCTTCCCATGGTGGATTTAAAAAAAAAAGTTTTTTTCTGTTGACTTCATTTTTCTTTTTGCCTTTCCTATATTGGTCAACCTGACGTGTTGGAGGTTAATGTCCAGCGGATAAGAGAAAACGCAGACATTGTCCCGCTAATCATGTGAGTTGGCAAAAACATAACTTTTTTAGGACTGGTTCCCCTCCCTCCTTTGCCAGCTCAAACTCCAAAGGGGAGAAAAGAAATTGAAAAAGAGATTTTTGTTTTGGTCAGCCGATTAAAATGTTCCATTTGCCAGCTGCGGCAGCCTGTTAATTTGGGGTGCACAAGAGCAGGGTGAGGCTCTTTTCCTCTGATCAGTTGGCAACCGAGATCAAAGGCGTAAGAAGACATAAACAATCATTTTGCAAAATTCTAGGGTGGGAACATAAACCTGGATTTAATTGGCCGTGTGATGTAACAGCCTTTATCCTCACTTCTTGTGGGACACCAGCAATTATTGCTTGCAAACTATAGGTTTTTTTGGGTAACGTGATCTATGAATTGAGGCCGATTCAACACCTTAGGTCTTCGAGGGCTGCGGGAACCCAATATTTATTTAATTCATAAATTCATATCGCCGCCCATCTCCTCTGCCTGACTCTCGGTGGCTGAGAATTAAAACAGAATAAAAACAGGGTGGAAAACAGCCCAAATGAGATGCTACATAGATCACATAAAACGTCAGCTGAGAACACACCTGACTTCCTACGATATAACCAAGACCAGGAACCGCTGAAAAGGGGAATTCTTCACATCCTTCAAAGCTGTTTTTACGCAGCTGGGCGCTCCCCAAATGTATTGGACTACAACACCCATCACTATTTCCCCCCATTGTTCTTCTCTGCTGAATGCCTCCCCTCTTTCTGTTACCAGGCCAAGTAATACTTGAATGAGCCTTTTTTTTAAAAAAAAGCTTGGGCACTCTCATTGTGGCACAAGGAACCTAAACTCAGGGCTGGGCCATTCTCTTGTGGCAGTGAGTTCCACTGGTTAAAAATCTGTGTGGGAAGAGTGAGCGGGACAAGACCGCACCTTTGCTCTGCTTTGATCTAAAACGTGGACGCTCATCTCCTTTTCGCAAGCCGCTGAAACAGAAACAAATCTGTTTTCCCCCTACACACCTTTCTTTCTGAACTCTCCCATTGTTCCTGAATTGTGTGTTCGGTTTTCTAAATGGGACACTCTGCGTGTCACTCAGGGAACGTATATCAGCAAAGGTTTAAACCAGAGAATTAGGGTTTCAGTGTGAGCTTTGCCCCTTGGGCAAAGCTTCATTTTCTGGTTTCAGCCGAATATTATCACTAAAGTGTGTGCATACGGGGAAGGAAGATTATGCCTCACACGCACACACAAACACATCTGTTTACCCAAGAATGGCCTCCTCCAGCAAATCTGTTTCGTTCAGCTCCCAAGAGAATTGATGGGGGTGGCAGATTAAGACAGGGAGGGGAAGAGAACATAAGCACCAATCGTGTTTAGGGCAGATTAGCAAAATAGGCCGTACTTTTAGTGGGGTGTATAAAAATCCCTAACCTCCCACTTAAGACATATTTCTCCTCCAGACATCTCTTTCAAATTCCTTCTACAGGTAAGAATCTAAGTCATTTTTTAAAAAAATGGAAAGAAGCAAGTA